CACACACACACACACACACACACACACACACTCTCACACACACACACACACACACACACACACACACACACACACACACACACACACACACACACACACACACACACACACACACACACACACACACACACACACTAGCAGGGTGGAGAATGGAGAATGTGGGAGGCTAGGACTTGGGAGGGGGGTCTTCAGTACCTGAGTTGGGAAACTGAAAGGCACTGTGCTGCATTTGGGGGCTGAGCACGGCCCCATACTGTCCCATCATCATCTGGGAGGAGGAGGATGCGGAGGTGGAGGAAGAGGAATTGGAGGTAGAGGAAGAGGAGGAGCCATGCATGTGCAGCTGAGGGTTGGGGGGGAGGTTTGGGGAGAGAGGGGGGGAGGCCAGGCCTGTACTGGTACCGTAGCTGGGAGGGTAGGGGAACTGCGGGGGGGCCGTATGTGGCCCTCGAGGGTTGTTGTTGTTCATGCTGGGGGGCAGAGAGAGGCCCCTCATGGCCAGGCTCCTCTGCTGCTGCTGTTGCCGCTGGCGCAGGTGGTTGCTTAGCAACTCCCGCTGACGCTGGGCCAACATCTGGGCGTTGATGGTGCCCTGAAGGAGAGAGGAGGGAGAGATCGATCAATCAATCAAAGGAGGAGGGTATACAACGTCATGAGGCCAAAGAATTGAATGAAAATGTGTAAAGCCGAACCTCATGACTAATCGAACATGCATCATATAAGAATACAGGTTACAAGAGGTGCAGAGCCCGATCTCACCACGTTCCAATCAACTGCTTTCAATCTGTCATTAATGTTGTGTTTAACTTCCCCTCATGACTATTGGACCGTGCACCAAACATGCATACAGGTGTACAGCAGGTGCAGTAAGAGGGGGTTGCATTATGAAGTTTAGTAGAGCTGCACTCCAAGGAACTATTAGAACATAAGATTTAGATCCCACGAAAGGTTCATTAAGACGTCCGTGCCTCTCTGTGACGAAGCACTTTCTTAAGAAGAAGACGTTTGTCCACATGAAGGAACCCTCCGCTCATCAAACAGGTGAGCAGTTACCTGGTTGGGATTGCTGGCTCTGAGAGGAAGGTTCACATTCGAGACGCCGCTCATCTGAGCCATCATCGGCTGACGGTTCTGCAGGAAGAGAGAGAGAGAGAGAGAGAGAGAGAGAGAGAGAGAGAGAGAGAGGGCTTTATGCTTAGACATGAAACTATCAAGAGGAATCCTACATGACGGGAGTCATTAAACAAAAACTCGGACTAAATACATTTGTCTGTAAGAGTTTTTCTATGACTTGAACGAGAGGATAAGGATAGGGCACCTGCGTCAGGAAACAATAACTGTGATGAAATTAACGTGCAGTATTGTTGATGAGAAAATACTTATATGTACCGTAATTTCCGGACTATAAGGCGCACCTGAATATAAGCCGCAGCAGCTAAATTGAATGATGTGTACATATATAAGCCGCACTGGACTATAAGCCGCAGGTGTTTTAATGTTTCATTACCATATGTAAGGGTTCGTGCACAGAGGGGATTGTCGGGAAAGAGATGGCTGTTTGAGGAAGCTCCCATTTATTAACATTTCAACAAACAAGTTGCATATTTTATAACGTATTCAAGTGTTACCATTTAGTGCAATAGTAGCTACAGAACATGTGCTGTGCTGTGTAAACTGTACTGTATCACATAGCGTTTCAGACACACAAACTTTTCAACTTTCAAACTTAAACGGTGCGCTCCCAGCGCACGTACCGGCAGTGATCTACAGCAGCGGTTTTCAACCAGTGGTACGGGGACAAACTGTCTCGCTCTCGTAATGTCTGTCTGTCTTGCTCTCGTCTTGTCTCTCGTACCACTCTCGGTTCCACTTTTACTTTTGCGCGCTACCTATCTCACTCTTTTCCGCCTCCAGCTTTTCCTGCTGGAGCAGA